TTATACGAGTAGAAGAATCTCCTATTAAAGACTAACTAATAAATAACGTAGTTAATACTAACTAGTTTATAATAGCGAAGTCGAACGAAATATACGAGTAAATTAAGAATTTAATTACTTAAGAAGTACTAAAGTTTCTATCTTTTCTAGCGATAAAAATATCTATCGCTAAATATATAATCGATAGCTAAAGAAATATACGCTTTTATAGAAGACTATAGGTTTCGAACTTAAAACCTTTATATATATTTTTAATTTAGAAAACCTACGACTTAGTAATTAGCGAATACTTCGGACGAAAAGTAACTAGCTCCTTAATAGTAAGATAATTCTTCTAGTCGAATATATTATAGAATATTCGATAATTCGTACGAAACTACGATATTTACGAGTAAATAAAAGCCTAGAGGAAAAGGAAATAAGAATTTCTAAAATCTTTCCTTATATCGAACCGAATATAGAGCGAAATATCTATCGACTTTATTACGAAGCTCCTAGAGAGTCGAGGCTATACGAATTTAGCGGTAATTACGAACTAACTAGGAAAAGAAGTTATTCTTAAACTAATACGTATAATTAAGTCTTAAGATATAGTATTTCTATTTCTACGTACGTTCTATAGAACTTATAATTTATCGAGAGCTATCGTATCGAATAGAGAAATCTAGTTCGTAAGCGCTCTATAGAAACGAGTATATTAGCTACTAAGTATCGTACGCTAATTATCTACTATATATTACTCTAAAACGAACGAATCTACGAAACGAATAAATTAAACGATTAAGATATATATATATACGTTTATAAACGAAGCCTAAGATAATTAAGTAGAGTTACTACTAATCGCTAAGTTAGTAATTAATAATAGAAACGCTTAATTAACTAGTATAAGTTCTTTCTTTTTATTTTATAAATATAATATCGACTCTATATAATTATAAGATAAACTTCGCGAAGATAAAGAAGAAAATAGCTTAATACGATAGAACGAAGAAATTATACGAAAACTCTAGAAGACGAGAAAATAGGCTTAAACTTCTATAGTCGTTACTTAATAAGAATAAAAAGAAATTATAAATCGTATAAAATAATAGTTAATAGAGTTTCGCGTAGGCGATAAGGTCTAGCTTAACTTAAGGAACGTACGTATAACGCGAAAGAATAAGAAGCTCGATTAAAAGAATATAAAGTATATCGTAACTAAAGTTATCGAATTATATAGCTATTATTTTAATACGCTAAAAGGAATCTATAACGTATTCTATTCGAATCTATTACGTACGATATCTACGAATTTATCGCCTTCGTAAGTTATCGACGATACTTAATTAAATTCTATCGTTATATAGGACGAAGAAGAATACTAGATTAAAAGGATTATTTACTATAAATTTATACGAAGAAGTTAAGGGTCTTAAAGATAGTACTTAGTAAAATAGACGAGATATATAGAATTAACCTAGAAACTAGAATTATCGCTCTAGAATATCGTAGCTTTAGACGCGTACGAATCGATAATAGAATAGTCGACTTTCTAATTACTATACGAGAGTAAAGAGAAAGTATATATAGAGAGACTATAAGAGTAATAAAATATTTAATTATACTATATATAGTTAGCTTATTTAATTCTCGTACGACGAAGCTTAATCGCTACATTAAGATATAAACTATAGTTAAGTATAGAGAATATTTCTTATCTATTAGGATTATATTAATATTAATACTAATAATATACGAAGATAAGAAAATAAGAGAAATATTATACGTACCTACCGCTAAGGGGCGGACCTTTTTATAACTACTTCGCCGAAGCGAGAAGGAGGAGGAAAGGAGAAGAAAGTCTTACGAGTAAGGAGGGAAGCGTCGTCGTTATCGAACGAATTTAACGATAATACTATAATACTACTATTATCGTCTTTATCGTACTTCGTATAACGAGAATCTTAGTCCGACTACTTATAGTTACTATATACTCTACTAAAGTATTTTAGAATACGACGATACTCTAGAAATAGGCGTATTAAGCGCTTATAACGATTATAAAAATCGAAAAGAATACTTCGGCTCTAAATAAGTAAGACGTTAATATATAATAGTCGATATAATCGGACTTATACTATAGTAACTACTCCTTATACGAAAGGTACGTTAGTTCCTAGTATAGCTAAGACCGTTCGTTAAGAGGTATTATAGTAGTACGATACTAGCGACTATCCGAAGGTAAGAAAAATAAGAATTTAAATTAGCGCGAGCTACTCTAACTAACGCTAAGTCGTAGCGACGTTCTATACTACTAATACTATATTATCTTAACTTTTTTATTCTCCTATTAATACGTACGACTAAACGAAGAAATCTAGAACTTAGAGTATAGAAAGTAGATTTAAGAGGAGAAAATAGATTAATTCGCTTATTTATTTACTATATCGACTATTAGCGTATAAGAATTAATAGTAATTAATAATTATATATAATAGAAGTAGAGATAAGTACTTATAAAACTTTCTCGATAATTAGTATAAGAGAAGAAAAAGTAGAATAAAAGTAAATAGAAATAAGAATTTTACTTTATACGCTACTCGACGCCTAGCTAGTTTCTATTAGGAGTAGCGGCTTCTTAGCGTCGTATAAGGAGAAAAGGAAGATAATATTATAAGTTAAACTCGTATAAAGTTCTAGAGTACGCCTTAGAGCGATTACTCGTAATATATCTTTAGGCTATATAACTATATAGCCGAAGCTACGTAATTCCTCTCTATCGATTATCTCCTAGGAAACTATACTAATCTACTATAGAAGAGGATAGGAAGTATTTCCTTTATTCGTATAGTAGATAGATTTTCTCTTTTCTTTTCTCTTCTTAGCTTTAGAATCCTCGTTATACGATAGTTAGACGAATTACTCTAAATTCCTAGCTAAATCCTTATACCTATATATAATATAGAAAGATAAAAAAGAAGATATACTTTATATCGATAGACGAGTAGACTTAACGTACCTATTCGATTACTTTAGCTACGCGGAAAGAAGCTACTAATAGTACTTTAGACTATACTAATACCTATAGAATATAAGTTTTAATCGACTCCGAATTCCGATTAGTAAGATAATATATCGCTCGATAGATAAGTATAGCGAGAGTACTTACGTAGTAAAGTTAAGACTATATATATATTTAAAAAACGATAAAGGAGTAACCTATTAAGGCTAGGTTATCTATAGTAATAGCCTTAGACTCTAAATAAGCTAGACGAAGGTAAAGCGGAATATATAGTTCTTACGATCGTTCTATAGAACCTTTCTATACGACTTATAATAGACTTCGAAGTAAACGAAAACTATATCTCGTACTACGTAGCGTAGAAATTAAGAAACTATATAAAGGTAAAGATAGAACTATATCGACTTATAATAGTAGATAAGTCGCTAACGAAGTTTAAGAACGAATAAATAAGAAAAGAACTATAATAGGTCGAACTACGAATAGAAACCTATTAGGAAAGAATAATCCTAGATATAATAGCGATAAAATATAACGCTATACTAGAAATAGAATAGCTCGAAATATATAACTCCCGAATAAACTAGAAAATAAAAAAACTCGAATTTTCGAATTATAGTTACGAAATAAAAATAGAAGATTAATTATCTTTAAAGGTTTCCTTTATAAAGGCGATATAAATATAATCGAGAAGTAGAATATTAGTCTAGACTAATATTAAAGAGCTACTTTCGGAATATATAAAATATAAAGAATTATTTATAGAAAAGAAAAATAAGGTAGTACTTCTAGAATATTAGCCTTAGAATTATAGAATACTTATTAAAGAAGGAGAGATACTTAACTATAAAGAATAGTTAAACTTACTCTTAAAGAAAGAATATTAGATAATAGGTTCGTAAGTCCTTAAGGATCGCTTAAAAAGACTAGAATCTCGTACGAAGTACGAGGTATTCTCGGACCTATTAGTTATATACGTACTAGGAAGCCTCTTAGGGTATTCCTAATACGCTAGTTTATAACTAAGACTTAATACGAGTTTAACTCGTAATATCTATATTTATAATAACCTAAATAAGAATAGTACTATTTTATCTATATCTAGTTACTTCCCTCTAATATCTACCTATTTTAGAACTTAAACTACCTTAGTTAGGACTCCTTAGGAGATTAAACTATAGAATAAGATATATAGTACTAATCGATAGATAATTACTAGATAAATCTAGTAATATACCATTACGGGTTAAACCCGTAGGATATCTAAATAAGAACTAGCGATGTCTTTATTCGACCGTATAGTTATATAGCCGAACGATATTACGTAATATTAATAGTTACTTAGGATACCGGACGACTATCCTTAAGAGATTATATCTCCTTTATGGATAGTAGTAGGACTTCTTTCTTTCTCCTCCTTAGCTTAACGTCCTTATTAGATAAGTACTATAGTAGTTAAACAAGCTCCTATTTAAACACTTATATATACTCCTATTTTCCTATGCGATGGCCTATTAGTAAACTCTAATTTTAGATTATTATTCTATTTAAAAGTTTATACTACTAATAGTATAAAGAGATAGTTAAAAATAGCTAGGTCCTCTCTTTCTAGGCTTATTCTAAATAAACTACTTTTATAGCGTAGTTATTAGTTAATATAGGTATCTCATCCTAGCTATCGGACCTAAGTTCCGCTGACATCGCTAAGCCATATAAAGCTCTTGAGAAAAGACCCAACGGAGATAAAGTCATTATAACGACTATATCGTGGCTTCCTGACTAATGGTTAGGCTCTCTTTAATGAACTAGCATCTCGTAAAAATAGGTTGAGAGCCTTGTTTTCATGACTAGGGGCCAGGGCTCTTTTTAAGACTACGATTATTCTGAAGTACGATGTAGTTAATAGAGGATGACGAAAAAGTTCAACGCGCATATTGTTGGTTGATCAAGTTTCACTTCAGTCATGAATGAAAATTCTTCGTGTAGTATATAGCGATCAAACCACCTCTTGCAGGGAGGATCGCGCATCTCGTTCTTTCCTTCCTCCGTCACCGATTAAGATGCTCACTGCTTCATCCCATCCCCGCTCGGTCACAATGTCCATAACGGTTCTCCCGGAATCGTCCGTTAGGAGCAAGTCGACCCCGTTCCCTTTTTCTACTATGAGCCGCAAGAGATCCGCATCGCCGTTCTCTACAGCCTGAAGAACAGCATTCCAGCCACGATACATTAAATTGACGTCTGCCCCCCTATCGAGTAGAGTCTCAATAATTTGTGGGTCGCCTTGATATCTCCGGATAGCTTTTATAATGGGCAAATGTTCACCAGGAGCGTTAACGTCTGCGCCAGCGTCCAGCAGGAAGCGGACGATCTCCTTTCTGTGCTCTCGAATTGCAGTGGTTAGCGGCGAGAACACGCCTCCATTCTTGTCTTCAACACTAACTCCGGCCTCCAATAGGAGCTTGATACTGTCCATTTCGTTCGCAACGACCGCCATTTCCATCACACCCTTGACGGCGCGAGGGTTATGCACAGCTGGAAGCAATTTCTTAAGTATGCAGGGTTGCTTGACTGCCATACAAATTGGCCAATTCTGGCCTCTAATACTTGGGTCAGCACCATTTGCGAGTAGAATATCTACAAACTCGTTGCGGCTATCGCGAATAGCTGTCGTTAGGGGCGTATATCCGTCGGTACTTTTCCCGTTTGGACTAGCCCCCCGCTCAAGGAGATATAGCAGGGCATCCTTATTATTGTGCGCAATGGCTTTCTCCACGATACCATCAGGGTGATGAAGGTCCGCTCCTGCATCAATAATCTGTGGGAGGATGTGCGTACGATGATGCGTAACGCATTTGAAGGCCGGGTATTCGGATGCGCAGACGTTTGGATCGGCACCATTGGCAAGGAGAAGGGTCACAAGGTCTCCCCGGTCGTCACGAATAGCGCTGCAAAGAGGAGTGTAGATGCCATCCTTTTTGGTGTTCGGGTCCATTCCGGCATCTAATAGCAGCATTACCGATTCTAGGTTGTTGATACTAGTTGCGAGCTCAAGGATACCAGGGCACTTCCTGCAATCGGCCTTGTTATCAAGAAGGACCTGAAGGATTCTTGGTTGGTATGTTGCAGGCCAGAGAGGGTGCTTCGGACCAGGTAAGTTCGGATCAGCCCCCCGAGAAAGTAAGAATGTCACAAGGTCTAACCTTTTTGCTTGGATGGCTCCAAACAGGGCGGTCTGGCCTTCGCTGTTCTTGCCATTGGGGTCGCTGCCATGTTGAATCAGGAGATCTACAAGTTTCACTGAGCACTTCTTCGTTATAGCCTTAAGAAGAATAGTGTTGCCGTCGGAGTCGAGATTATTTACTTCACCTCCGTGAGTGAGATAGAGCTTGACAAGCTCACTGTTACCCTCAAAAACCGCCAGTGAGAGAGGCAAGTCGCCATCCGGACCAGTATGAATGTTTGGATCTGCACCACCCTTCAATAGTATTTCAGCCCCTTCGACGAATCCTTTCTGCGTCGCCGCGTGGAGGGGAGTGGAAGCATCCGGCCCAGTCTTCTCATTGGGATCCGCGCCGTACAGCAGTAGTAGGCGAACATTATTCACATCTCGGCAAGCAATAGCCTCTCGCAGAGGATTGTAATCTCCACTAGCACTCGCAGGTACACCAACATCCAGTAGCCTTTCAACCATTTTGTAATTTTGTTGTTGGATAGCTCCGACAAGAGCCGCTCTCAAGCTTGCAGATGTTGAACCAGCTGTCTGTTTGGGGGTGACCTTGAGCGTGGAGTTCGAGGTTGCCCTATCTCGGACAATCTTCAACAGTGGGTCCTGAAGCTGGATTTCTTGCATCGTCCGTGGAATTTCCGAGATGGAATTAAGAGTTTCAAGGGACTTTCTACCTCCGACTGAGAAATCTTGGTTAGCGCCAACAAACGTAGATTGAACGGAGGTCGCCATGGTTGGCTTCGTGACTTGTTTCGAGTTACAGGATTGAAGGAGGCCCTCCTTCTCCAGGTCCGTTTCAAGTGTCGTGATAGAGGAGGCAGTGTGTGTGTCAACTTGGGTCGTGGAAGATCCTGATGGCGTGCTTGTTTTGGTAGGATGAAGCATCGAGTCCAATCTTTCATGCATGGATGATGACGAAGTGGTGGGAGCTGCAGGAATTATTTTTGGATCGATTGCGTTAAGTGCAGCTGCCAGACCAGTGTATCCAATCCCTAATGAGTCGAAAGGTTTCTGGATCCCGGTTGGCCATTTGAATTCCTGGGCGCTGCTTCTCAGAGCTTCCGACCGCTTTCCTAGGCATTCTCGGAACCTCCCGACATCGGTGTCGACAAACATCGTACGCCACCCCCTCTGCAAAATGTTCCGCCGACCTTTATTCTCATACTCTAAAAGCTTCTCCAGCATCTGGTTCAAAGCGAGGAAGTCGTCAGCTATTTGTTGAAGCTTCGTGTCGAGGTCGTGCACCATGGTAGCAGGAATAGTAGCGTTGACCCTTTTGGCTTCCTTCAAGCCTGTTTCGATAGACCAGGTAGTCTGACAGATCTTGAGAAACTCGGACGCAAGTTCAACTAGTCCATGTGGTCGATTTTTGACCGTAGAGATGTACTCCAAAAGTCGTATTGAAATAGTATTACCTAGCGTAGTAGCTCGTGCACAAAGGTCAAGAGAAGATTCCTTATGCCTTCGCAATGCCATGCTGTCCTTAGTGTCACGACCTAGACAGTATATTTAGGTTTTGGTATATCTTGTAAATTTGAGATGAAGGAGAGTGATAATGTCCAGGAGATCGACGTCCCTAATATAGATGTAGCCTGAGAGCAACTGTACATGCAGGGACGTTCGTTCCTTCACACGCTAGTGTTAGTGAGACGCTAGTTTATCTGCCAGACGGTCCCGTGCGCCACTATGTTAATGCTCTGAAAAAGTAATGGAGGACCAACAGACAGTGTATAAGTAAGAGTTCGGGCCTTAAGTGCGGACGTAGTCCAAGTTGAGACTACTACGCTAATAAGCATCGTATCTAGACATCGTTACATGTCTATTGATCTCTCCTCTCTTTTCTTATCGTACCTCCATTTATTATTGTTCTATAGTAGAGAAATATGGAGCGATCTAGGGCCGTTGTATCCGTACAAAAACATCGGAAATCGGCTTTAACTAGTAGTGATTAAAGGCTAGATTATCTGCCACGCAGTGTTATCGAAGCCACATTATTAAATAAGTCAAGGTGCCAAGGTTGTCAGAATAATTTTAGCGCTGTAGGCAAAAAGGTGATACGCCGTTAAGCGAATGTGGAGTTCAAAGGGATCCGAGTTTTCCTAGGGTCAGCCAAATTTAACCGAAGTTATCTTAACTTAAAACCTAACGTCTTTACTTACTACCTTTACTCCATACGCTAGAGAAAGATCGGTTAGAAAGTCGGAAAGAATTTAACATCTCTACTGTGGCGTAAGAAAGATCCTTACAAAGGATATATACTTTCTAACTGATCGTTTTCTAATACGAAAGGTATTAGGCACTACTCATGCTAATATTATAAACTAGGTCACCGGAAAGGTCGCTAAGGACAAGCTACTTACTCCTAAGAAGAAACAAGGAAGCTAGCCGATAGAGAACGAGACTATAAGGGTTTAGTTAGGAGTTCTTTAATTAACCTAACTACCGTTTAACGAGGATTCTAAAGCTAAGGAAAGAAAGAAAAAGAATAATCTATCTATCGTACGAGAGAGGGAGATATTCTCTACACTCTCCTATAGTAGATCGTATAGTTACCTAAGGAATAATCGATAGAGGGAAGTTACGTAAGGGCGTTACTCACCCTAGGAAGTACCCTTAGGGTATTATACGGGTTTAACCCGTAATAGAGACTACTTTATATAACTAGGAGTTAGACTATAGTAGACTATAGACTATATAGATAGTTTAGGATAGTCTATAGTCTATACTAGTATTATATTATATTAGGGCTCGAGGCGCTTAGTTATAAGAGAAGAGAGAAGGGGCCTTAGTATAGAAGAATAAGCAAGGGAGGAAGAAAGTAGACGATCGAGGAGACAAGTAACGGAGGACGAGAAACCTAATATACGCGAGCTTATATTAAGTACTAGATAGTAGTTATAAGAGTATAGTTTATAGAATTAAGAGCGTTTTTCCTTCTACGAGTTCGGCTATATAACTATATAGCCTAAATTTTAGTAGTAGTAACCTTTACGAATAAAGCTATTATAGCTTTATATACGTCTATTACGAGAAGTCTTAAATATATAGTCCTTTAGCGGGCTTTCTACTACTAAACGTTAGAATAGTACTTAGTTACGGTTACGAATTTTCCTACTACTACTAGTCGAAACGCTTAAATAATAGTAATATATATTATTACGATTAACTACTAGATATAATATATTAATTTAATTACTATAAATCTTTCTATCGTTATATAGTAAGTCGATTAAGACGGTAGATTTTAAGTATTTTAGAGAGGTCTACTAAGTTATTACGAATTAAACTCGTATAAAGCTCTAGAGTACGCCCTAGAGCGATTACTCGTAGTACACCTTTAGGCTATACAACTATATAGCCGAAGCTACGTAATTCCTCTCTATCGATTATCTCCTAGGAAACTATACTAACCTACTATAGGAGAGGCTAGGGAGTATTTCCTTTATTCG